AAATCCTATCAAACTCTCACTACTTGACCGAGGAGAGAGAGAGCCTGAGATTGAAAAAAACTCCCGTACATAGGCACATAGTGATGCAGACATCCACAGGGTAGACGACAAGAACGGTGAGCGTGCCCAAGGACACTCCAGAGGCACTGTAGAAGTTCTGATAAGAATGGTATAATCAAGTCAGTTCCCTCTGGTGAGATCCGTAAACACATTCGGGGGTGCCGAGGTCGACCTGGAACAACGCCAGAGAAAATCCAAGAGTCCTGAAATGATGACACAATGTTGATTCAGCCTGATCCCTCTGATAGGTCTGCAGACTTCCTTGGTGGGAGGGAGGAGAGGGGGCAGATCATCAAATTTACAGGGCCTCCAGGTGAATTGAGATAAGGTAGACAGTCAGAGCCAGCCGGGGAGTCGAATTCAGATGAACATTTGTTTTGGGAGCAGGCAGAACTTTACTGATTCATGTCTGCCTTGAGTCTTTGCTGGTCCGCACGAATCCCAAATGTCCAAATTAAGTGGACACACCGCTGGTCGGTGCCTGAGAGTATTCCCCAAGATCTGATCCATCCTGCCAGTGAATCCTAGTTTGCAAAGAAATTGAGTCATGGTACGTGAGGCACAGAGCAAACCATCACATAAGGCCGGCAGCCTGAACAGGGCCAAATTTGTTGCAGACAACTTCCTTGTTTGTTGAAGAACCAGGAACCAGCAGGAAACCTGTTATCATAAATCCAATTATATATGCGTCTTCAACATGCTCGATGGACAGCAGAGATAGACGCATCACTTTCCAATCGCCCCAGAAATCAATGACATATCCAGCTCCATGCGTGTCATAAGGGAAAGCCGACTCGCCTGAAGTGTGTCTTCTCGTCAAGAAAATTTTATCAGTTGCGTTGAGAGACCAGCTGACCAGATCCATAGCAAAAATTATGGTTCGTAAGATATGTAGAGAGAGGCTCTGAAGCCGTTTCACAGACAGGACAAAGCAGCAAAGTGGAGGAGGGAGAGGAGGGAAAATGTGTCCGCCCTTGACAAGAGCAAGTGGTGAAGTGATGATCCTGATGATCATGATGGTAGTACTGATCCTCCTTTGGAGATCTACAGACTGAAAATGTTATTTAATGCTAAAACAGGTCACTCTACATGACTGAAATGACAATTTGATGTTTTTATAATTGTTTTTAAACCCTCACAGGGTATTAAAATATTTAACCCTAAATGTAGTACTGGGTTTTAAAAGCTCTTCAAACTGTTTGTGAAACAAGCTTTTCTTTTCTTCTTCTTTTCTGACCTCCATTCTATCTGATCTGATTTACATTTATTGTTTTCAAAACCAAAGTGAAGCTTCTTATCTCCTACAAAAAAACTGCGCTTCATGATACGACTTATCGTTTTCACACAGCGACTGTCTGAGGCTTACTTTTTAGTCTGCTGTCCTGTCGGCCTGTCTTAAGACTCCTGTCGGGGAGAAGGTGTGGTTACCATGGTTACCCTAACAAACCACTGGCATTAACATTTATTTTGATTTTAGTTCTTTACATCTTTTAGATAATCTGTACATCAAAATGTCGGCCATTTTGTTGCTGCACTGGCACCCTTTAACGTTTTGTCTAAAAGTTTTCTCATTGTTCACTCACATCATGATTTATTTTATATAATTGTTTGTTTCTGTAGCGAGGCTAACCATCAACGTGTTGGACGTTAACGACAACGCTCCTCGTTTTCGGCCGTTCGGAGTGACCAACTTCACGGAGCAGATCTTAGAGGGGGCTCAGCCGGGCACGACGCTGCTGTCAGTGTCAGCTGTGGATCCGGACAAAGGTCCGAATGGTCAGGTCACCTACGAGCTGCTCAACTTACCGAGGGGGAACTACGTTAGACTTGAGGACCCGTCCATCGGTACGGCCACCAATAAATGAGCCAACTCGAAAAACTTTGTAGAGATTTTTCTATTTTAAGATTATTTCACAATATATTTGTTTACAGTGTCTTCGTTCTTTTTGTTCTGCCTAGTTAGAATATTATTATTAGCTTGATTAATCCTAATTGTGTGAACACTGAGTCAGCATCCTGCTTTTTGCAATCTTAACTACTTCTGGTTAGTTAGGGAGTGGTGGCGCAGCGGTTAGAGAAGGTGGGCCTGTTATCAGAAGATCGTTAGTTCAACTCCCGGTACAGTAGTGCCTCGTTTATCACAGGGGTTCCGTACCCTGCCCACCCCTCCTCTTCACAATAAGTGAAAAACCGTGAAGTAGGGATAGTAGTACAAATAGTAGTAGTAGGAAGTAGTAGTTTAATTTAGTGTAAGGTAATGTAAGGCTTTATAAATCCTTCACACACTCTTGCAATATTCCAAACAATGTTTCTAAAAGAGCACAGCATGATCTCCGCTCTCTGTGGCAGAGAGCCGCAGGTGGCAGAGAGTGGAGATCATGACAGGCTGCGGGAGCTTCTCTCTGCCCCTGTGGGCTGCACACAGGTGCTCAATCATTTAAAATACCGTAATTTATTTTAAATAAACAATCCATGCGTGATTTAGTTCTTTGTGGCGACCCCTGAAGAAGGGAGCAGCTGAAAGAAACAAACTACTGGTCAGTGGTAGTCATTCCTCAATCCAAACTTTCAGCTCAGGTTCAAGTGCTACGTCTTGTGGGCTTCTGTAACTTTTATACTTTTAAAAACAAGATTTTCACGATTTGATCACAGAAAACAACTTTGAGCTGTTCAGCGTGACCTCTAAACCTTCTCATGAGTGCTCGCTTTTTATTAGATTTAGGCAGGGTTATCACAAGGTTGACATTTTCAGTTACACATCAGGATATCTGCTAGAATGACGATTAGAGGGCGCAATTAAAATATTTTGTGATGATAAGCAGTTGATTTCTGTCAGTTGACCTTAGTTTTGAACACGTCATGTGAGGATTTAACAGAGTACAGGGTTGATAACAAAAAAACTCTAACACTAACTGTTCTCAGGTAAGATTGTAGCCAATCAGACGGTGGATTTCGAGCTGATTCAGTGGCTGAACTTCACCATACGGGCTCAGGACCACGGCTCCCCTCCCAGAAGTGCCGAGCTGCCGGTTTATCTGCGCATCGTGGACGTCAACGACAACAACCCCGTCTTCCTGCAACCTTCCTATCAGGTACCGAACAGATTGCCGTATTTTCCGGAGTATAAGTCGCACCGCTGACCCGTCGCGTTTATTTAATTGTGAAAACAGCTTCATTTCGCCTGGGTGGCGCGGCGCCGTCCATCCGTCCGTCGCGGCTGGAGCCACTAGCTCTCCAGCGTTCCTCCACCTGCACCAGCTGAGTGTAGCGAGCGCGCACGGGAGGACTCGCTGTTGCAGTTTTTTTAAATTTAAAGAGTCAGTCAAAAATTGTGTTACGAATATGGAAAAAATAATCATATATTTATAAGGCGCTTCGATGTACAAGTTGCAGGACTGACAGATATATGCAAAAAAACGTGACTTATACGCCGGACAATACGGTAGATGTTGCTCGCAGCCAAATAAAAATGTTTTAGCTTGAGGGGACCGGATAAAACGCCGGTGCTCCAAAAAACCTGGAACCAAGCTGCGCTACTTTTAATATTATTATTAGGTTTAAACAATAAATGGAATAATCAGGACATAACTATCATTGTTTGGCAGTGCCTTAATCAGTTGTGTCTTTGTCTCTGTGTGCATGTGTGTTAGCAAAATATCTGTGAATCATTAGCTGAAAGTGTCACAAACCACTGCCCAGACTTGAATGAAACTCCCTTAAAGTGTCTCTGCAGCTGTTTGGAGACAACTTGACTTCAGATAAACATAAGTCACCACTCAGAGAAGTGTAAAGTGGTAGTAGCTGAGAGTCACTCATGATTTTAATGATGATCCTAGTTTTAAACTCTGGTTTGAAAAGCAGCGGGCGATATGCATTCCTACAAGAAATATGAGGCCTTTATTGTGAAAGGTTTTCTACCAGAGCACGCAAAATAAAAGTGTCACGTTATTAACTCAGCTGGCTCGTTGGTCGTGGCTCAGCCTGAAACATTTTGCTCCGTTCTTGATAAAAAATGTGTTTCTTGTTTTTTGTAGGTGCCTGTGTTTGAGAACGTGGACCTGGGCACCACAATAATTCGGGTCAGAGCCACAGACGCTGATTCTGGACTCTTCGCCGTCATCGAGTACAGCCTCGTAGACGGAGAGGGCAAGTTTGACATCAGACCAACCACGGTGAGTAGACGAGAGGAGCACGTCACAGTTCTTCTTATTCGAAGTGTAAGTCTGGTTGTTTTTTAATGTCCAGAGGACCAGACTTAACTTTTCTAGATTTTTCTACCTGGATTATTGAGCATGCATCAGGAACTCTGGGGTAGTTTGTGTGAACAAAGTCTTGAAACCTCAGAGTCCGCAGAAAATGTCCGACACTTCCTCTTCGAGACGTCAGACAAAAGATAAACACGTATTGACCAGTGAGCAACGGTCTGCCGTGTTTTCCCTCGGAGCGATGCCGGGCGTTATCCTGCCTGGAAATGAAATGTTCAACAAACCCTCTGGGTGTCCTGAGGCCACACCGCATGTTCGAGCTCCACGCTCCATAAACACTGAGCCAAAATAATCCGGTAACACCACCCCTCCCTGTAAGTACTTCCTTCCTAATCATTCCTTCTCCCTTTTGTAAGGGAGAGATCTACATCTTGTCCCCTCTGGACAGAGAGACAAAGGACCACTACACTTTAACCGCCGTGGCCCGGGACAACCCTGGAGGAACCCCAAACAACCGGAGAGAGAACTCCGTTCAGGTAGAAAGAACTCTGCAGAAATGCACCACACAGAAACCATGAATCATTTTTACACTGCGTAATATTCTGTACTTATACCAACCATGTCTTAGGTGCATGCTATTAAAGAGACATCTAGAATAGAGTTCTGTGGAAAAGTTATTATCTTACCTGTTGCAGATGGCTCTTTAAACCCTCGTTTTGGAGAGAGAGAGCGGGAGAATGGTTGTTTGTCTCTTTGTGTCCCTGTGATGGACTGGAGACCTGACTGGCTTTATCGTTTCTTCGTGTCTCTCTCTTTCTACTGAAGACACTGGATGACAAAAGACTCAACTCCGGTTGACCCCTCCCTTTCTCTTTAAAATCTGTGTTAACCGTCCAAAATCGTGTTTTTGGATCGTTAAAAGCAGCTAAGCTACGAGCTAAGCTAAGAGGCCGACCTCGGGGAAAAAACCTCCGTGTTGTCAAAGCTCCAAAATTCACGATTGAAACCGGTGCCTTCGTGTAAAAAGTTGTTTTTCTCTGCAAAAAGAAGCTGAGAACTTGTTTACTGATTTATTTTATTAAAAGCTTTGTGTGGGAAAAAGCTATGCTAAAGAGCTCAAACCACTCAGAGTGTCAGCCATTTTGAGAACCGAAGAGAGACAGCCCATGTCACATCAAGGGGCCTCCCTCCCATTTTTCTTAAAGAGACACGCTGCTTGCTCCCTCTCTATCCATCCTTTGGTTCAAACAGTCTTATACTGCCATCTAGTGGTCGAAAAACGGTAATAGTCAAAAAAATTAACCAACATTTCTTCTTAAATTTGACAATAATTACTAAAATTTCTAACCATATTATCGCTTATCGCAATAATTTCTGAGACAATCGCCCAGCAAAATTTGTTATCGTGACAGGCCTAGTCTAGAGCCATAAAGCTGTATGTTGACACGTGCACCAAATCTCTTCTCCAACATCTCCATCTTTTACTGCTCATCTTTGTCGGGTCGTGGAGGCAACAGGTCCAGGAGTGGAACACAGACCTCCCACTCCCCTGTTCCCAGGCAAGTTCTGGGTCTGCCCCGGAACCTCTTCCTGGTGGGACAGGCCTGGAAAACCTCGAAAAGGAGGCGTCCTAATCTGAACCACCTCAGCTGACTCCCTTCGATGCAGAGGAGAAGCGGCTCTGCTCTGAGCTCCCCCCCAGCCTGTCTCTATGGCTGAGCCTACGAAAGTTGGTTTCAGCTGCTTCCAGGACCTCGTTCTTTCAGTCATTAGCCGTGCCTCATGACCAGAGGGAGCATTACAACGTGTCCTCGTTGAGAACCAGGACCCCTGACTTATCGGGACCGGTTCACACCGAGCTGTGAACCGGCTCAGTGCACGCTAAAGGTCATGGCCTAAAGACGCCAACAGAACGAGCTACGAGTTCACTGTTCAAAACTTTTCCACAGAACTCCAGCTCAGAATGTCGTAAATAACCCTTTAACGTACACTTCAGAAAGTAAAAACGTTTTACTCATTGAACATAAGAACAAAACGTCAGATTGTTACCGATGAGCCCGGTGCTGAACGTTCTGACAGATCCGTTTCTTGAATCCATCTCTGAACGTGACACTTTGTTGTGCATTAGTTTACCGCTGCAGACGTCGTTGCACGCTCTTGAACTCACCACCAGACTTTAGTCTGATCTGAGTGTGCTCTTACGACGTGTCAGGTTCTGGTGACGGTTCTGGACGTGAACGATTATCGTCCGCGCTTCGTATCCAAAGTGTTCAACACCAGCGTGTTTGAAAACGAGCCCAGCGGAACGTCGGTGATCACCATCACAGCTATAGACCTGGACGAAGGACAGAACGCTGCGCTGATTTACACCATGCTCGGACCAAACATGGGTATGAAGTTTTTAACAAAGCGCCACTAATGGAGGTTATAAGTTATGGTTTCCTTGTAATAGCTTTTTACCGTATGTTTCAGACTATAAGGCTCCTGACTATAAGGCTCACTGTCGATTTTTAAGTAAATTAAAGGATTTTAAGTGCGCCTTATAGTCTGGAAAATACAGTAATTTGTAACAAAGTGATGTTTGAACATTAATGAAGCCCATTTTTCAGTTCAGTAATTTGCATTTTCTTCTGATTTTAGACGCGTTCCTTCTGGATTCGATCACCGGATTGGTGCGTTCTCGCCGCCTGCTTCAGTCCACGGAGCGCTTCAACTTCACCGTGGTGGCTACAGACCAGGGCCGCCCTCCCCTGTGGGGCACTGCAGACCTGATCATCACAGTCATAGACGTTAACGACAACAGACCCGTGTTCGTCAGGCCAGCTAATGGAACCATTATTCATATCACTGAGGTATCTGTGTCTGAGTCGATTCAGTGTATTTCTGTAGCTTCACGTCCCAGCAGAAGTCGTCTCAGGGCGCTGAACAGAAACATTCACAGACATTAGTAAAAGTTATTTATCTAAGGAAGCAGCAGGTTGTGTTGCATCTTCACTTTGCCACAGTCTCCCCCCTGAGCAAGCACAAAGGAGACGGTGGAAAGAAAAAACTTCCTTTTAACAGGAAGAAACTTCCAGCAGAACCAGCTCAGGACGAGAGGACATCTGCTTCAACCGGCTGAGGTTTGAGAGGACAGGAAGGAGAAACAAACAGAATGACAGGTCCTGGTGAACTTTCTATAGTTCAGATGAACTTTCTATAGTTCAGGTGGACTTTCTATAGTTCAGGTGGACTT